CTTTTCATCTGTTTTGTCACAATAAGACTGGATAGACGATGCTTTGAAGACAAGTTGTAGCTGACAATACAGTCTTTACCTAGGCCACTAGCCTTCCCCAAGGGCCTTAGAGGGGAAATGGGAATTTCTTAAGGCTGGGCCTAGTAAAGTCACCCATCAGTGGCATATTTAATTAATACATATGAGAGGGAGCTTTGCATATGCCCTCAACCTACTCTACTCTTTAGAATGGCTTTTTTTTTTTCCTGGAGGATTTTGCCTTCTTATTAGACTTACAGAATTTATATTGAAACTCTAAAGTGAAGAGAGAGAGCTCAATGATTATACATTTTAACATTTGATCTGACTACCACCATCAAATAGTTAAGTGAGTAGTTCAGTGAGGCAACTTACCAGTGCTTTTTCTTTTTCTCCTAATTTTAATATATATATATATATATTGATTTCAGAGAGGAAGGGAGAGGGAGAGGGGGAGAGAGAGAGAGAGAGAGAGAGAGAGAGAAACATTAATGAGAGAATCACTGATCAGCTGCCTCCTGCATACCCCCTCCTGGGCATTGAACCTACAACCCGGGCATGTGCACTTGACCAGAATCGAACCTGGGACCCTTCAGTCCACAGGTCAATGCTGTATTCACTGAGCCAAACCGGCTAGGGCACCAGTGATTTTTCATAACTTTTTAAATAATACACAAAAAGCCTAGAGAAAGATTTATAATTAATATATATATATACATATATATATATATTCCTTTGCTTGTAAGTAATTATGAAAATAAAATTTGCTACACCAAGCTCTAAGAAAAGCCGCCAAAACAGGTAGTGTTGAAGAGGGACTAGAGGAGAGCCTGAATTATACAGAGCAGACCCATATCAGAGACCCAATGTGGGTGGTTCTGTGCTTTCAGGATTGATTGGTTAATGCAAATGTTAACCATTATCTGTTCTGGATTTCCCTAGCTTTCCTCTTTAATTTCTGGGGGTTGGCAGCTTTAACACATTTTTTCTTTTATCTTTGTAGTGTGCGGGGGTTTTTTGGTTCCTCTCTTTCTGCCTCACTTCCTCACTCCCCACCCCACGAGCCCCCTTTTTCCCCCTGGAAGATTCATCTGTTAAAAATGTCTTCTGCTATCAACTTGGAATGTGGATTCTGACTGTGCCTGACTTTAGTGCTCTTTGATGTTTTTCCAAGGCTGACTCTCACTAGATCCCTGGTTTAGGTGTCTTTTCCCTGACGCCGAGAGGCCTGTAAGGTGAATTTGCCTTACAGTATCATTGATATAAAGGGTTGGTGGGGCCTGCTCTTTTCTTGTATCCTTATGGGCAGTTAAGTTGCCGGAGTCTGTCTATAGATGTTGATATCTTTAACAGAGAGTTCCTGCGTATATTCAAGAAAGGGTCTGTGAGAACTGTTATGCCTGAAAGACTAGAAATTTGAGAAGCTACTCACCCCTTCCCATGGAGATTTCCACAAGGATAAGGTTGCATTCAGAGGCTTATCCTCTCTTCCTCCTGCATAGTATTGGGGTTCTACCATAATCACTCCATCATCCTGCCAGCCATGTCTCATTTCTCATACTGGAACGCTCCCTCCTCCCAAGCGCAGCTTGAACCACCAGTCCTGATGCTTTATCTGGTCCAGGCTCTAGCCCTTAAATTGTCTGTCTGGCTTTGTGTTTCATTTGACCCTAATACACTGGGTCGCACTGTCTAAAGGAGAATTATGTCCCCTCCGATGTCAGGGTGCATTTCTCATTTCTTACTGCTGCTCCTGAGCAGATCTGTAACTTCAAGGTTAAGATAAGACACATTCCATCAGAACTATGTCGTCATCCTTGCCAGCTTCTGATCTGTGACTGTCCAGGAGATTTATAAGACAATTGCATGCCATTCTTTACAGAATATTATGGTTGGACTCTGACTCCTGGCATCAGGCCCAATTTGATTTGTCAGCTGTTACAAAACCCATTTCCCAAAGAATAAGGGACTTCAGCAGTGTGCCCTTTAGGCAGGTCTTAAGAGTGGGAAGGAGGAAATTGATCTGGCTCTTTAGTCCTTGCTATTTTAGCGAGAAGGGTGGACTCCAGAATATTTTTGTCCCTTCCTCCTTGAATTCACTTGTTTTTTCCCTGAAAGGATAGTGTTGCTAAAGTGTTAATCTTCTTTCCTGTCCTTTATCCCTTCACAGAATTACTATTTCGTCTTTTCATTCTGCCATCTCCTTTGCTTTTTTGAGTTTTAAAGCATAAGAATAAGTATTTTACCCTTAAGAGAGAACATACCTATCTATTCTCTGAAGGTTTATTAGTTTACCATTGCCTAATTAACAGGGACACTGTTCCTCCTTTCTTGTTGTCTAACATGTTGAGTTGCAGGAGTTACTGCATATGTGATATGGTTTAATGGCTTAGGAATTTGGAAGGTCATATTTCCTGCTGCTGTTGTATTCAGCCCTATAATATTTTTACAAAAGCTTCTCTTTAGGGGTCTGAACAGCTCTTTGGTTTCAACATAAATTCACTCTTTACCTAGGAGGTAGGTGGTGGGGATTTATTTGGCCCATTTTAGTGATTCTGGGATTCGATTGAAAATTTATTTACTCAAGATCACACTTGGCAAGTTAATCACAGAATCAGAACGCTGATCTAATTCCTTGGCATTATTTTCATATACCAGTTAAACAAAAAAAAATTTTAGTTTCCACTAAAGCAAGTCTTTTTTTTTTAAGTGGGTTTATCATTGCCATTGCTCGCAAAAAAAAATTGACCGAAAAAAAAAAAAAAAAAAAAAAAGACTGGTCTTGGGGCATGGTGTCTAAACCACCAGAAGCATGGCTAGGTAGGAGAGACAACATGTCTGTTGTCCTAGAGTTTTGCAAGCATTTTTATACATCCGGGAGGAGAAAGATGTAATTGTTCTGAAAGGATTTACATTAGTTTTAGACAAAGGGGATGGGAGAAGGTGAAACAGGATCGGTTCTGGGATGGCACAAGTAGAGTCCTTAAGGAAGAAATGTCTCCGCTTGTGATTAGCTGTGGGCAGTAGGTTGGAAAATTCATGTGTAAATAGGATGCGAAGTCTCCTGGGATTCTGTTGCACCTGGCTTTTCCCTTTTGGATAATCACAGAAATAGCCACCTGGAAATTAATACTAAATTCCAACGGATACATAGGAAATGTGAGAAGTTTTTTCTCAGGCTTGGTCCACAGCTATTACCAGACTAATGTTCTCTTTCTCTCACTCTGGTTGCTGTAATTTTAATTTAGAACATTTTGGAATATTTTTCTGCCGGGGTCCAACCCCAGCAGGTCCAGGGGTTCCCAAAGGTGTAGACGGAGTCAGCGAAGAAGGAATGACACGAAGACAGCGTTCAGTTGATCAGCAGCCTAGCCAGGATCTCCAGCCAAGTTCTGGTCTGGATCTCCAGAGAAGTTCTGCTGTTTATTGTCTTGTTACATCCGTATTTATACCAGTTGGTTTTAATCCTGTCAATTTCTATTACAAAGGTTAGGGCGTTTCTTATCTCCATTCCAGGGAGTAAAGATTATGTAGCTTAAGCATGATTGTTTGTAGTTAAAGTGATTAACTACCCGCCTGGCACTTAGTTAAGGAGTTTCATCCCCTCCCTGACTTCAGGGAAAAATTCCTACCTGGGGAAACAACCTTTCTCGGAGAGGTGACCTTGGTTAAAACACATAGTGCTAAGGGGAGCAAACATATTAAGAACAGTATGCTATATACGCCAGGTCCCTTGAAACATATGCTGTGCAGATGTTTCTTTCCTGCAGCGACTGTGTCAAGCAGCAAGGATGGACCGGCTTCCGGCATTTTTCTTCTCATCCCTTAGCTGCGAAGTTAAAGTTAGGAAAAGTTGAAAAAAGCAACTTTTACTCAGATATCATGATGGATTCATTCAAAGTTCAGAAAATCTGTAGTTGAAAACTTGTCTGCTTTGCTGTCATACCCTATAATTTCTTCTGTTTGATAGCCAAAATAATCACCATTCTCTGCTTTTTCCTCAAGTTGATTTTTTTTTTATTGTCCCTTTTTTATTACTGGCCTATGGCAGCCACTTCTAGCTCTAAAGACAAGTATCTATAAAGCGGAGCAGGGTTTTGGAGCTCTCTAAAATGTTCTTTAGGACCAGGAGAAATGCAAATTTATGGGACTGCAGGTTTCTAGGTATTTTTTCTTTGTCTCAGTCCTTCTTTTCTCAAGTATAGGGACTATTGATATCTATATAATTTTTAGTTATATATACTTCGGATGGGTAGTAATTATTTTAAAATTTTCTATATAACATTACAAGAACTAGTGAGAAGCGGTTTTAACAGTAATGGTTGGGGTTGGACTGCTCTCCCCTACGCTTTTTTTTGTTTTTTTTTTGTTTTTGTTTTATTTTTTCCCCTACGCTTTTTAAAAAGTACTTAAGGATTAAGTATTTTTTTTCTATCTATAATTTCAGTTGAAAAGTTCTTCAGTAGTGCTTCAAAGCTCTGGGTTCTGTTTCTGTATCTGGTAATCTCTTAAAGAAGGACAGTTATATTGTATCCCAAATACTCTCCAAGCAATTTTAATTAACTGTTCAGTGACAGATGGTAGAAGAGGCCCTGTGTAAAGTGCTTCTGGTGGGCTGGATTAGGGGATGGGTGGTTTGCACTGATTCTGTTGTAGAGGAACCTAGCTTTTCCCTTCCCCCTTCCAGTTGAGCTATAATCCTGTTGGATGATCTTAAAATACTATTGATTAATTTCCAGTGGTTTTAGGAATAAGCACAGTTTTGGATTTCAAGAAACAGTTCCCTTGAGCTCTTGAGGCCACGGTAGGTACCTTCCAACTTCTTCGCCCAGTCTTCACTGAAAAGGAAAGTTAAAGCTTTTAACTTTTCAGTTTGCCTCTCTCCCTCTTAGTCTAGTACTGCTGCCAGTTGCTATGGCAACGGACTGGGACAGCTGCGCAGTGGCGCCCAGGCAGCTGGGTGGGGGCGGGGGAGCTGCCTGCCCGCCAAGCCCCAGATCTGGGAGGGAGGCCCTCCTGTTAGCCCAGAGGGAAAGAAAGAAGTGGGGCGATCCGGTAGGTAAAGGAGAGAACCCCCCTTCATCTGCTCCCTTCGGGGAGCCCCTTCTGCATGAATTTGTAAAGGGAGATTTTCCCCTTTTCTCCCTCAAACTGAAGAACACATATGTAAATCCTTGTTTTTCCTCGTGAGGCTGGGGAGGCCATGGCCACAATGCTTAACTGCATGCATCTAACCCAGGGCTCGTTTTAACCCCAGCGCTCTGAACTAAACTGCTCAGCTCCCGGAAATTCCAAGGTGAGTGGGGGTGGGGCGGGGTGCTCTCCCTGGAATATGACATTTCCTGTCTCTGGTGAGGTCGGAGGCTATTTTAATTTTAAATAAATCAAATCAGATATTTTTTTTCTTGAAGGTGAAAAATTATTTTGAAGCCCCATACTTACATTCTCCCGTCCACCTCCTCTTCCAAATAAAGTATTTTAATGAAAGCTTAGTTTTATTACAGGGCAGTAATGGGTACAGACAGTTTCTTTAGTGGGCAGACCTATTCCTAGCAAGTTCTGAAGATACGGTGTCCAACTATTTACTCTTGGAATAATTCCTTAATTTTTGCTATTTGAAGTAAATTAAATGCAACTTTTTATGCTACTTGGCCTGAACAAAATTCTGAGATTAGTAGTGACCTTCCCTAATTCTGGGAATGGTCTTGGTCAAGATGGAAATATTTTTATAGAGATTGCTGAAACAAATCTTTAAAGATAAATATGGAGTTCAGCTAAGAAAACAATTCCTGCTAATTTATAATCCAGACTGTAGGCACCATTTAACATGGTTAAAGAAGTATTCTTAAAAATGATTATGGTAACAACGTGGGAATTTAAAAAAACTAGATTCTCTGTTGAGTACCCCCTGGTTGTGCATATTTCTGAGCTTAACTCAATTTCCATTTGTGTTGCCTTCAGCTTTCCTTGGGCCAATGAATGGTTCCTCTGTGTTTTGAGGCTTCATGTTGATGTGAGTCTGGGGCCAGACTTCTCTTTCCTCCTCCTCTTTCTTTGGCCTGAAGCCAACTCAAGTTAAGAGGAGAGGTACCTCCTTAACTATTTGTATTAGTTGAGCGTTGAGAATTACTGAGCAATCCAATGACTAATTTTGATTTTTAGGACAAAATTTTTTTTCTCCTCCCTGCCCCCCTCCCATCCCCAAATGAAAAAGGAGGCTCAGTGTTTTGAGATGTCTTGCTATTGTGAGCTGATGGATGCCCTGAAGAGACAAGCTCAATTTGTTTAAGGGAAATGTACCGAGTCACTGAAAATGTGGTGAAAGATGCCTGTGCAGTCCTTTTTTTTGTGCTGCTAAGAGACTGACCAGTCAAGATGCTCAGAGCAGAAAGTTACATTTTGGTGACTTTTCTTTTTTCAGTTTTATAAAGAACCTATTTACTATAGAGGGAAAGGTTCTATCTATCATGATTCTTTTAACTGCAGGTTTTTCATATTTCTATTTTAGTTTCTGTCTTGTGAACAGTTACAGTAGTAGCCAGGAGAGACATATCACACTACTTGACTTTAGGAATCTGAAATTAGAGGAGTTAGACAGTTGTGCCGTCTAATTTTGGTCCTGTTGGTTGAAGAGAAAGTTGTGGTTGGGAAAATGGGGATAGACCCATTTTTCATTAAATTCGTAGGATTCATATGTAGAATGTTTCAAGGCCTGAGAGAAGGGTACCTAGCAGTCGTGTTATACCCTTTGTATCTCATCAAGAAGAGACAGAAACTTGTCCTGGCCTATGCTTTCTCTGCTCCCCTGTGCTCAGTTGTAATGGGAGTCTAGCACAACACACAGCAAGCAGGTCTCTCTCAGTTTAGGAGGGCCTCCCTGAGGATAGGGCTGGCTTTTAAAGGATGAGAAACCTGGCTGGGTAACGCAGTAGGTGGAGCATTGTCCTGTGCATCAAAAATATTTCAGGTTCGATTCCCAGTCAGGGCACATACCTAGGTTGCGGGTTTGATCCCTGGGGAGGGTACAGGAAACAACCGAATATTGATGTTTTGGTTTTTAAAAATGTTTTTACTGATTTCAGAGAGAGGAAGGGAGAACAAGAGTGATATAGAAACATCAATGATGAGAGAGAATCATTGATCAGCTGCTTCCTGCAGGCCCCCTACTGGGGATCGAGCCTGCAACCCTGAGCATGTGTCCTAATGGAAAATCGAACTGTGACCTCCTGGTTGATGGGTCGGCACTTAACAACTGAGCCACACTGGCCTGGCAACTAGTTGTTGTTTCTCTCTCTAAAATCAATAAACATCCTCAGGTGAGAATTTTCAAAGAGAAGAGACAAATTTTAACTGCTCACATGGATTCTGACCATTATGTCCTTCCCATTTGCAGGAACCTAGTGGCCTTAGTCCTTCAGGTGGAACAGCGTGCGACATGGGAAAGAAAACCAAGCGAACAGCTGACAGTTCTTCTTCAGAGGATGAGGAGGAATACGTCGTGGAGAAGGTGCTAGATAGGCGTGTGGTTAAGGGGCAAGTGGAATATCTACTGAAGTGGAAAGGCTTTTCTGAGTAAGTGCCTTCTCTTAGGCCTTAGGACTCTGCAGAGGTAGACACATTTGATTTATTTCCCCGTGAACCACCACCATTTTGTCTTTTTCTTTCCCTGCCTGCACTCCTTTCCTAAGAGTCAGAAGACACAGCAATAAACTAAACAAAGTCTTCCCCTTCTTTGGAGCTGGTATTCTAGTGATAATGCTTTTGAGAGGCAGTATAATGAATTGGTTAGGAACATGGACTTGGGAGCCAGGATGCCTGGGTTCAGATTCTTATGCTACCACTTATGATGATATGAGCTGGGTGACCTTGGTTAAGTTCCTTAATCTTTTTTTTTCTTCTCAGTAAAATAGGGATAAGAAATAATACTTGTAATAGAGATGTTGGGTAGATATACAGAGCCTGACACATAAGCTCAGTGTAAGTAGAAACTGTTACTGTTACTATTCTTTTGGATATAACTAAGCTAAAATACATATGTTGAAGAAGATGATAAAGATAGTCATCATCATGGATTCTATAGCCCATAGCTTTCCAAAATGATCCCTGGATCTCAGAACTGCCCTAGGATGAAGCTCCTTCCTTCCTTCCTTCCAGTTCTATTGTTACTTGATTTTTTAAAAATTGATTTTAGAGAGAGAAAGGGGGGGGGCACCAATTTGTTATTCTACTTATTTATGCATTTATTGGTTGAGTTTTGTATGTGCCCTAACTGGGGATTACACCTATAACCTTGGCATATTGGGATGGTGCTCTAACCAGCTGAGCTAAAGCACTTATCACAATGATACTTAAATATGAGGCCACAGTCCCGTGTATTGTCCCCTCACCATACCTCCTGCCCCCAAGTATTTATTTTTGAAATTTTCAGATGTACAGTGAAGTCAAAGAAATTGAGTGAACACTCAGATACATAACATCTAGTTTCTATAATTAACATTTTTTATAAAGTTTTTTTCTTCTTTTTTTCTTTTATTGCTTAAAGTATTACAAAGGGTATTACATATAAGTTTTTTTTCTTATTGATTTCAGAGAGGAAGGGAGAGGGAGAGGGGGAGAGAGATAGAAACATCAATGATGAGATAGAATCATTGATCGGCTGCCTCCTGCACGGCCCCCCACTGGGGATTGAGCCCACAACCTGGGCATGTGCCCTGACCAGAATAGAACCTGGGACCCTTCGGTCCGCAGGCTGATGCTCTATCCACTGAGCAAAACCAGTCAGGGCAACTACAATAAACATTTTAATATAACCTATCCATCTATTCCTTAACCTATCATTCTATTTTTTAAAAATACCCATTTGCCCAGCCAGCATGGCTCAGTGGTTGAGTGCCAACCTATGAACCAGGAGGTCATGGTTTGGGGCACATGCCCAGGTTGCAGGCTCAATCCCCAGTGGGAGGCGTGGAGAGGCAGCCGATTGATGGTTCTTCTCATCATTGATGTTTCTATCTCTCTCTCCCCCTTTCCCTTCCTCTCTGAAATCAATAAAAATATATTTTAACAAAGAAAAATACCCAGTTAAAAACCTTCTTTTTAAGTCAGCTTTAAGGATGATACTAAAGTGATGGCCAGAATGCCTGTTAGGCAGTAACTGGTTTTATGCTGAAGTACTAAAGTAGGTTATTATTTTCTTTGGAATAAATAGAACTAGATACATTGAAGCATAGAAGTAATAGCTTGAAAGGTGAAATATGCCTCATTTGCTGGTTAATTCTTTTCTCAGGATGTCTGATAACAAAGAATAGATTTCTCAGAACTCCAGTGAACTGATAGGACATGGTTTAGGCTACTTGGGGTGGTAATATCCAGTAGAAATATAATGCAAGCCACATGTGTAATTTTAAATATTTTGGTGGCCACATAAAAGAAAAGTGAAATTAATTTTAATAATATACTAGTATTTTATTTAATACAACATACTAAAATGCTATTTCAACAATAATTTTAAAATTGTTGAGATGTTTTACATTATTTTTTCATATGAAGTCTTTAAAATCTGATGTATATTTTACATTTTATAGCACATAGTTCAGATTAGTCATGTTTCAAGTGCTCAGGAGTCACATGTGACTAGTAGCTACCATATTTGAACATCACAGCTTTAAAGTGTAAGGTTTAAGTATACTAAAAGATTCAATGTTTTGACGTATCTTTGGACAAAGGTATGAATCAGGAGCCTTTGGAACATAAGGTTATTTCATTTCATGAATCAAATTTTCTTATCTTGAGCACTGTTTTAAGTGGGATAGTTTGTGCATTATAGGATGCTTAGCATCTCTATCACATAGAGCGCTATAAAGGTAGGTATCACAACAATCAGAATATTCCCTTCATATTTCTAAAGAAAGATAGAAAAGGAAAAGACAGATTAAGCATTTGTCAGAAATGCCCAGGATTTTATTAAAGACTGGAATTTTGCCCCTTCAGCATTGTCTACAACTAAATACCTACTGCTTGCGAGGCAGTGGTCAGATTCTTCCTTGGTTGATGTAGAAACAGCATTATCAATATGGTAGGAAAAGGGATAATCCCATTATAGGACTGGCCTTTCATGCTGTGAACAGAGACTCTCCTACCTCTACATCTAGTGTTGTCGTGCCTCTTGATTTTGGTACCTTAATTTCTTCTGGGATAGTAAACTATACGGTCTGTGGATATGGGGAAGGCTATTGTGTACAGAATCTTTTTTGGCTGAAAAGGGGCTATGAACAAGTGCCTTTTCTAGTTCTAGCTCAAGCGATTTAAAAGTAAATTTTGTCTCATTTTTTTTTAATTAAAAATACCCATGACTTTGTCATTAATAGCAGCCGCAGATATATCTGTGTTATGTTAAAGTTGTTGCAAATATCTTTTTTAAAATATATTTTTTTATTTATTTCAGAGAGGAAGGGAGAAGGAGAGAGAGATAGAAACATCAATGATGAGAAAGAATCATTGATTAGCTACCTCCTAAACAGCCCACACTGGGGATCGAGCCCGAAACCTAGGCATGTGCCCTGACTGAGAATTGAAACATGACCTCCTGGTTCATAGGTCGACACTCAACTATTGAGCCACACCAGTTGGGCTGCAGAAAGTTGTTTTAAGTGTGGAGTAAATATCTCAAATTTTTTCATCATTCTGCTTCTTACCTGAATCAAGTTATGTCATATGTTCAAACCATTCCTACCTAAAAATACCTTATTTTAAAAACAGTAAAATATATAAAATGGATAGGACATAAAATAATGTTCCCAAATCAATGAAAGTATTGTAGGAACTGCTTCTCCGATATGTTTACAGATGTATCTTAATATAAACTAGTCCTTTCTATATAACCCAATAGGACTTCCTTGATTCAAGTTTAATTAGACCCAATTATTCAGTTTGGGTTTATTGATTTTGCTTATTAATATAATAATATATTTTTGAATGACTAGTAACAGTAGACTTGAATCCATCGAATTAATGCACTCCAATTCCTACTTCTGAGTCTTCTTATGATTGAAACTGCCTTTTTCTTTTTGAATAACGATTTCCAATCCTCCAATAATTTTGTTGACATTTCTTCAAGATATAAGTAACATATTTAACTGGGGGGGGTATGATTTATTAGATTGTCCTCTCACAATTTGCATAGATGATTGTGTGAAAACACATTATTTTGCCACTTATAGAGTTCATATTTGAGGGTTTTTTTGTTTGTTTGTTTGTTTTGATTTCAGGTTTTTTTAAGGATTGTCTTTTTCTATCCTAAGCTTTAAAAAAATTACAGAACAGGACAGAGTGGGCCAGAAACATCGATGAGAGAGAAACATCGATCAGCTGCCTCCCGCACACCCCCCAGTGGGGATGTGCCCGCAACCAAGGCACGTGCCCCCGACTGGAATCGAACCCGGGACCCCTCAGTCCGCAGGCCGACGCTCTATCCACTGAGCCAAACCGGTCAGGGCCATAATTGAGTTTTTAACACCTTTATTGAGGTATCATTTATAGTCTGTAAAAGTCATTCATTGAAAATAAATGATTCATGAATTTTTTATTAAGTAAATTTATAGAGCTGTGTAACCACACTCCAGTTTTAGAAAATTTTCATAACCTCTCCACAAATTTACTTGAGCCCATATCTAGTTAATTCCAAGACCCAGACACCAGCAGCAGGGAACCACTGATCTGCTTTCTTTCAAAGGTCTCAAGTTGTCTTTCCTAGACATTTCATATAAATGGAATCAGACAATATATACTTTTGCATCTGGTTTCTTTCACTTAGATAATGTTTTTGATGTTTTGTTCTTCCATGTTGTAGCGTGTACTAATTAGTATTGTGTTCCTTTTTGCTGTTGGATAGAAGTTCATTGTATAGATATACCAGATTTTGTTTATCCATTCACCAGTTCATGGACATTTGAATTGTTTTTAACTTTTGGCTATTAAAATGCTGTTATAAATAATTGTGTACAAGTTTTTTTGTGGGTATATAATTTTTTTCTTGGATAGATTCCTAGGATTAAATTTGTTCCTTTTAAGTGTAGGGTCTCTTTCCTTTTTGTCTATTTGTCCTTTTTAAACTAAGGCATTAGATTTCTCCCCTCTCCCCCCTAATTCTTTTCTCTGTTCTTGTCCAGGGAGCACAATACTTGGGAACCTGAGAAAAATTTGGATTGCCCTGAGCTAATCTCTGAGTTTATGAAAAAGTATAAGAAGATGAAGGAGGGTGAAAATAACAAACCCAGGGAGAAGTCAGAAACTAACAAGAGGAAATCCAGTTTCTCGAACAGTACTGATGATATCAAATCCAAAAAAAAGAGAGAGGTAAGTTTTCTTTCCCCCTTTTCCCACAAACTATTCTTTTGCCACCCCGTGCTTCCCCCCCCTCCCCCCAAAAGAGCCTCATTTTGTTTATTTCTGTTCTAAGGATGGCCTTCAAGGTAAAATAGTTGAACAAAAGAGCTTCTAGGGAGGTATGTTGATTAACTACAGTGCCCCCTCCTGGCTGAATGAGAAATGTAATATGTGTACACTGAATTTTATTAAGGTGGCAAAATTAAATCCCTATAAAACATTCGGCCACTGTCTGTCTTCAAACAAGGCTAAGCTGTCTTAAAGAGGAATGGTTTTTGGTGAATTTTAAGGATAGAAAAGGGCTTTAAAACATTTACTGTTTTACTTTTTTCTTTTGTTCCAAAGATAGTCCCTTATTTTCAATCCTTTATATTCTTTCATTTTTTTCATTGAGATGAAATTCACATGTATACAATTAACCATTTTAAAGTGTATAGTTCATTGACATGTATATTCTCTTTAGATCTTATTTTTATGTACTTTACATAAGAAATTAATTTCATCCTTTTTTTTTTATCTTTGCTCACTCAAGGACACATTCATTTTTTTTTTTTTTAGAGAGAGAGAGAGAAAGGAGAAGCGGGGCGGGAGAGAGAGAAAGAGAGACATCAATATGAGAGAGAAAGATTGATTGGCTGCGCCTCGACTAGGGCCAGAGATCAAACACGAAATGTAGTTGTGTGCCCCAACTGGGAACTGAACCCACAACCTTTTGTTGCACAAGATGATGCTCCAGCCAACTGAGCCACACTTGCCAGGGCTTCATCTCTTTTTGAAATCTTTTTATTGTTGAGTTTGGAAAGTCTGTTTATAAAATTTTGGTTTTATTCAGCTGCTTTAGATCTCAAATTACCAGCATGAGCAGTGTTATTGCCTCTTTTTTCATCTATATCTTTTCCATCAGTGCACACACATATACATATACATATACATATACATATACATATACATATACATATACATATACACCCCCTTCAAGCTTCCACTCCTTTCCTTTATTTCAAGGTCATGAAGCGTTTTGTGGTGAAGGATGTATCATACCCTTAAAGTTTAATAAAATAAAAGCATAAGTCTGCTTCTGAATCTTCTAGCATCAATGTCATAAGCATCCCTGTTTATCTTTATTCTACTTGGATACCTGTCTTTCTAGTATCCAAGAAAATACTATATATGCTTCTGTTTATAGCAAAGGCACTTCCAGTTCTTTCATCAGCATTAGTTCTCAGCTCTGGCTGTACATTAGAACCACAGGGGTGTGAAGAGTGTGCTTTTAAAAACCTCCAGAGCCAAAAATGTACCCTAGACCAGTTAAATTCAATTTCTGTGGGTTGGATCTGGTCTCCATAGAGAAAATGGGAGACCAGCTTTCCCAAAAGAATTGATATAAGAGTGAAAGATTGGAAGCTGCAAGTGAAAAAGGACTCTGGGTTTGTGGCTGTCTCCTTATTTGTTTCCCTCATTGATTTTATTTTTACCTTATTTTTAAAACTGCTCTATTCTGGTGAGGTGTGTATATCATTGTGATAAACTATATCGTTATAATAAACTGCTGATAAAGAATTTGAGAATGCCTTTCTCTAAGGAGCTAAGATTTGTTTTTTTCTTTTTTAAATTTATTGGGGTAACCTTGGTTAATATATACGTTAAAATACCTTCTTTTTTTTTTTATTAGTCCTTTGTATTCTGGCTTTTGTCATTTGACTAATTCTCCAGCTAAGTAAAGAGACCGAAAACAACACAGCATAAGTCTTTAACTAGCCGTTTGTGACTTACAGTGTTTATATCCTCAACCTAAGGTTTCTGTATTTTAAAAAGGAACAGTCTGGCTTAGAGCTACTGGCCAAAGCAGAGTTTTGTTCCTAGGCCAGGTTCTGATGCTGCCGACCTTGAAAACAGTCCCACTCGTCCCTCATGTTGTAATGTTCATCTGGGGCCCCGACAGCATTCTCAACAGTGCTGGTGGCTGTCATCTAGGCAGCTAGGAAGATAGGTGATGTAAGTTTTAAAGGTACAGGAGGGGCCCCTGTACCTTTTTCTTTCTTTTGACCACTGCAGAAGAAATTTGTCAGTTGGCATTATGCCTGATTTAAGATTACTGCCTTTGTGATGATTTTTGCATTTTCCTCGCCTCGTCACCTATTCAGCAGCTTGAACATTTTTCTTCCCCTCCCTCCTTATGTGGCAAACTGTTTTCAGCTGCCAGCTATGATTTACGACTCAGTTCATGTGCCAGCATTCCAGCTGTGACCATCTGTGTGCACATCTGGGAACCTCCTCCCCTTAAGAGCTCCCCAAAAAGGTTATGTTTTTGAGTCAGTGTCTCCCTTGATCCATGCATGGAATTTCCTTCCCAGTGTGGGTTCTGGTATCTTTGGAGACCGCCTGGACCCTGCATGTTTGTATGTCTCAGAAGAGAGCAAGGGAGGTGAATGTCAGATCAAAGAGATTTTATGAAAATCAGACATCAGATGTGAGTTCATTTGTGCAGTCTTTATCTTCCATAATAAGGTTTTTAAAATCACCTGCTTTGTGCCCTGTCTGGTGTGACTTAGTTGGTTGGAACATCATTCTGCACACCAAAAAGTGTCAGATTCGATTCCCAGTCAGGGCACATACCCAGGTTTTGGGTTTGATCCCGGTCGGGGTGCGTGTAGGAGACAACCAATTGATGTTTCTCCCTCTCCCCCTTCTCTCTGAAACAAACAAAGAACAAAATTAAAAATTACCTGCTTTGCATAAAATTTTGTTCTCACCAGTGCCATCAGACCTGGATCAGACCCTGTACTCCTTACCTCGATTGCATTCTGGCCAAATTTGAATACTCTCCTAGAGAACAATCAGCTTGTTTGTTTTTAATCACTTCCAGTTCTGTTCTCTAATGCTAATGACTCACCCACATTAGGAGCGGATAGGCACAGACCAGGGCCTCTTCAAGAGCATGCGTAATGCATTGTGTGAACTCTGAAAGAAATTTGTTGTTTTATGGTACTTCCTTGAATCATTCATACCTCTGTTCTTTCATAAATATGGATGCCTTTGCGAAAAGAAGTATTAAAAAGATTGGTCAGTGTTAAGGTAAACTAAAAGTCTAAAAAAGTAAAGATTGAGAGATGTGGTATACTTGAAGTTTATAATATAAAAAGGGGTCTAGTTTGGGTAAACATGGACTTGTTTATCATCTCAGAAGCAATTGATATCATTAAGGAGATTGGATTAGAGGAGTTCCTAGGTGATGACTCCGGGATATTAAAGAGTTTTAGGGGCCACTCCTAATCTTGAAGGAACACTGGCGGGACAACTGCATCTTCTTGCAAAAATATCTTTTGGCATCACTGTCACTGGGTGATGCAGTATTGTATTTCTTAAATTTTAAGAATTTCATTACAAAAATGATATCTGGTGGTAGTAAATTAGGTTGTGCTTTGCTAAGCTGAGAAATAGGTTTTAACTTTTACCCAGCTGTAACTTTTCTTCATCTTCTGTTTATAGCAAAGCAATGATATTGCTCGGGGCTTTGAGAGAGGACTGGAACCAGAAAAGATCATTGGGGCGACAGATTCCTGTGGCGATTTAATGTTCCTAATGAAATGGTGAGAGCGATTGGATATTTCTCTACAATTGTGGGGTTTCTTTTGCCAGTGACTTGAATTTGTATGGAAGATAGGGAGGAAGACTGAGTATTTCCCATCCAAATATTTTGATTGTCAAGGACCTTTATTTAACACCAACTATCTGTATTAAATGAGAATTATGGTTTGGAATGAATTAAAGAAATCAAGACATTCTCAAGTTTTGGTATTAAGCCAAATTATATTAGCCCAGATTCCAGAAAAGGGTAGATTTGAGGTGGGAAACATATAAACATGACCTAACCACTTTTTTTTAAACACAGTTCTGAATCATTTACCGTTAGACCAGTGGTTCTCAACCTTCTGGCCCTTTAAATACAGTTCCTCATGTTGTGACCCAACCATAAAATTATTTTCGTTGCTACTTCATAACTGTAATGTTGCTACTGTTATGAATCGTAATGTAAATATCTGATATGCAGGATGGTCTTAGGCAACCCCTGAGAAAGGGTCGTTCGACCGCCAAAGGGGTCGCGACCCACAGGTTGAGAACCACTGCCTTAGTCCATGAGCCTGTGGCCATAGGATAGGAGCAAGTGGGCTTTCTGCCATCACTGAGGACCAAGACCACTGAATAATGTCTAAAAGAGAAAAATAATCTGAATAAAAAGCATTAAGGATAATACTGGCCAAAGCACAATAATTTCATCCCGTGGAGGGAGTGGCTCTTAGAGGAAAGTATAGTTACTTCCCCACAATTTGGTTTCTAAAAGACAGGGTGTTTTATGGTCTGGCCCCCACTACCTTCTCTATCCAAGTGCTCTGAGCTTATGATTTAGGTTTGGTCTCTAAATAGAGGGTTCATGCTCTAGTGCCACTTAGGAAGCTAATTATCTTAAATATATAATCAAAAGGTGTAACATTTTATTTGATCCTGGGGTGGGGCCAGCCTGCCTGCCAGTGATGATCCCCTACGAAGTTCCTGGGTTCTTCTTTTCTCTGAGCAGCAATTTGGCCTTTTTTTTTTTCATATTTTTTATTGATTTTTTACAGAGAGGAAGGGAGAGATAGTTAGAAACATCGATGAGAGAGAAACATCGACCAGCTGCTTCCTGCACATCTCCCACTGGGGATGTGCCCGCAACCCAGGTACAGCCCTTAACCGGAATCGAACCTCGGACCTTTCAGTCCGCAGGCCGACGCTCCATCCACTGAGCCAAACCAGTTTCGGCGGCCATTTTTGTTGTTGTTGTTGTTAATCCTCACCCAGGGATATTTTCTTCATTGATTTTTAGAAGGGAGGGGGAGAGACAGAGAGAGAGAAAAACATCCATGTGAGAGAGATCTATTGATTTGTTGCCTCCTGCTCTCACCCCAAACAACACTGGGCATTAAGCCTGCCCTTGACCAGAATTGAACCCGTGACCTTTCAGTCTGAGGGCCAATGCTCTAACCACTGAGAAAAACCAGCTAGGGCTATTTGATCAAAATTTTGCTGGTAAATTACCCAAAAACCTATTTTTTGGAGAGTCACTATACTCTTTCAGAAGTAAGGAGCTGTTGTTGACTGCTTTTCCCACTCCATCATGTGCGCTACTTATGATTTATAGTCACATATTAACTAGCTCTTTGCACCACTGTCCAAATTTGAGTATCTTCTCTAAGCCATGAGTTTTCCCCTCCTCTTCTCATAATACTTACCTTTATGAATTAAACATTTCCGTTTTCTAGACAAGCATGTAGTTGTCTTTACTCACATCTCAGTGGAATTTTGATTACAAATTTTTTTCCTTGATTTGGAATCCTGGTTAAGAAACTTGCTGTATTTTTTGTTATATATTATAGTAGAGCCTATGTAACTTGGATAATTGAACTTTGCAGTTAATTCCTACATTTCATTTTAGTACTAGATTTTACATTTTTCCTACTCTCCTTCCTTTTATAAGTACTGTTGCTGACTTAAATTTCTGTTCTCTTATTGTTCCAATCCACAGTTCTGGCTAAAAGGATAAAGAATGTTTAAAAGGATACCAGATGAGGAGGGTTAGGACACTTTCACTTAATCCAGAAACTGGATTGATCACTTTATGCATAATCAGTAGGAGTGAATGTAGGTTTGATTGTGTGTTCGTGCACATGCTCACACATACAAATAAAAATTATGGGAACAGAATTTATATAATTTTCAGCCTTTTGATTAAACCTGCTATTTCCCAACTAAATTCTGGCTGTGAAGATTGCTGTTTTTGTCTGATGTAGTAGTTAAGTGATATTCACTAATGCAATAGTTAGTAATACAGTCATCCTCCCGTATCTGTGGTGGATACATTCCAACCTCTCCCCCCTTCTTGCCCACTGGATGCCTGAAAACTGCAAATAGTATGGAACCCTATATGTACTATGTTTTTTTCCTATACATACATACCTATGATAGAGTTACATTTAGAAATTAGACACCATAAGAGGTTAACAACAATAATCTATGATAAAATAGAACAGTTTACTGTAATCAGATTTATGTGCTCTCTTCTCTCTCTCTCTCTCTCTCTCTCTCTAAGATATTTTTATTGATTTCAGAGAGGAAAGGAGAAGGAGAGAGAGTTAAAAACATTAATGATGAGAGAGAATCATTGATTGGCTGCCTCATGCACGATTTCCCTCTCTCCCCCTCAACTGGGAACTGAGCCCGGAACCCGGGCATGCGTGCCCTGACTGTGAATCGAACCATGACCTCCTGATTCATAGGTTGATGCTCAACCACTGAGCCACACTGGCTGGGCTCAAGATATCTTTATGTATAGCGTGGATACACTGGACAAAGGGATGATTTTAAATCCTAGGCAGGCTGGCACGAAATTTCATCATGCTACTCAGAATGGCACACAATTTAAAACTTAGGAATTATTTATTTCTGGAATTTTCCATTTAATATTTGTGGACCACTGTTGACCTTGGGTAACCAACTGCAGAAAGTGAAACCACAAATAAGAGGTGGACTACCATCATTTAATTCATTTACTTAAATTTCTCCTTGAAAATACTGAATTAGACCCCAATAAATTTAATAAAAATTTTAAAAAGAAATTGTTGAACTGGTAGGGTTCTTCTCACTTTGAAATCAGGATGAAGAGGAAATCAAGTTAACGAAATACAGCAAATACAGGAACCTATATTTGGACAGACTCAATCTTACTTCCTCTTCTCTTAAGTCTCTTTCCTGTTCTTTCTCCCCAGGAAAGACACAGATGAAGCAGACCTGGTTCTTGCAAAAGAAGCTAATGTAAAATGTCCACAGATTGTGATAGCATTTTATGAAGAGAGACTGACGTGGCATGCATATCCTGAGGATGCGGAAAACAAAGAGAAAGAAACAGCAAAGAGCTAAAGAAGGGGGTGGTCTCTGTCATTTCTCTTTGTACATAATACATTCACTTCCCTGCTCCTCTCCCTCCTACCTACCCCTTCTATCCTAAACACATTCATACAAAAATGTGCTTATCACTGTGCTCCACAGGAGAAATGTTGGTATTGGTTTTCTTGTAACATAACGGATGGTCTGATTCATGATTAGTGTCTCTCTGTGAAGACCAGGCATTGCATACTGTGTGTAAAATTCCCACATTTTTTTCCTTTGCCCTGATCTCTTTCTTCTGCTCCCCTGTGACCTCAAGATGAGTTTTAACTTTTTAATCACCTGAGAGTCTTGATCTTTTCAGGGTTGGTCACTTTTAGATTGGGGGATTTTGTTACAATGATGGTAAAATTGGTTCTTAAAACATGTTGATGACCAGCTAGCCTTTGCTTGAGATCTTGGGATGGAAAAGATGTTACCCGTCTTTTTAAATAGCCGATAGCAACTGCCTACCTGTTGGGGCTTTCCCAACCTCATTCAGCTCTACCCAGGAGAATACAGGGTTTCTGGTGTGGTCTTCTGGGCCACCCTCTGTTGTTCATCTTCACCCATCCTCCCAGAGTAGCTCCATCCTTGGAGGACTTGAAATTTTACATTCACATTTGTCAAGGCACTCCTTTTAGCCCCAGGACTTGTGGCTTTGTTTCTTAGCAATCCCCGATTCTGCTTCTGTAAGTTGGTGTAGTCTGTCATCAAATGACAAGATTAATAACTGTGGAGCTTTTTAGCTATTAGGACATGAAGCTGATGGGGTAGGATACAGTTGTCTTTATTATTACATAGGGTATATATGTATTGTTTCCTTCCGTTCCTCACATTTGAACTATATATTTATGTAGGTGTGACTGACTGCCTGGTGCTTGCTTGTGCCAAGGTGCTAGGCACCCTCCAACCCTGCCAACTTCTGTGGCCTCCCAAAGCATTCCTGTTAACCAAAGAGGCTTCGAACCTGACCCTCACTTCTCAGTGGACACCAGTTTCCCCTCTATGCCATTATTTTCAGTGAGGAATTCTTGGAGGGGAGCCATTGGCAACACTATCAGTTTTAAATATTCATAGTGTTTATAGTCATAAATGTCCTGCTTTGTTGACTCCTGGATTTGCCAAGAGTCCCCAATGCTCTTCCTTTTTCCACCCTAAAACTCTGTATCTTCTTTTTAAAAATGTGTTTCCACGGAAGACTATCACCTCAGAAGATGACAGGCCCTGGCATTAGCATGTTGACACAACCGTTTTCCTTTTAGCTTCCTCCTGTTTTGCCATTATATTGAGAGTTTATTTTTCTGATAACCTGTCTATCTGCTAAGAAATGCCCTACTTCTCTTTATTCTTTTTTTCTTTTGGGGGAGGGTCAGGCTAAAAATTCAAAACTAAAAGTAAGGAAATAGTAGGGTTTTGAGCATCCTTGCCCTAGCCCAAAGCTGAGGGAATAAGAATAAATGCTTGAAATAGCCTTAACTCGAGTTCAGCAGTCATCAAGGTTGTTTTTGTTGTTGCTTTGATTTTTAAAACATAGCTGGCAGGAGTATTCAACCATTTCTAGGTTATTTTGAGTAATGAGGTGAATGAATAGATTGCTTCTAGTCCACAGATGAACTGAGCTGAATAATATGCAAATCATATACCCATTCATAGCATTTGTTAACATTGCTTCCCTGCTTAGCTGTTGATTGAATTCTGTGTGCTTCTATAAATTATGTCAAAAATTATACTGCACAGTTGAAAAGACAGCTGTTGATGCAGTGACATGACAGACTGGAACAATGAAGATTTTGGTTTAAGTCATCCAGGAAAATCCTTCTGAATGGTAATGTGATTAGGTAAGAACTTACCCATATCTCAAGTAGGTAAGGGTTTTATCTCCAACTTCCTTTACTCTCTGAAGGAATTAAAGGCCTAGATCAAGTGCTAGGTAATTGACAGTTGTTACTACTAATCTGATGGGCATTCACAAGAAAGGGTGGTCAGGAAATTGATTTGTCATACTGATAATCGGGGATATCAATTAGGGTATATAAGCATAGGACTAGAGTAGGCCATAGCCCCTGAGGAAGTGATCTGGGTCTCAGTTGGCAGGTGGAGAAAATGACTGCTTAACCATGTAGCCATTTATCAAAATCTGATTTTCTTTTAACAACCCCAGTGTTATACATTCAGTACCTTACTTTTTGCTCACCTTTTTCTGTCCACAGTTTATTGAATCTAGGTCTTAATACTGAGTGCCGCCAAAACAGCTTTTGTTCTCTCCCTCTCCTGCCTGTCCACAGCTGCTTCTATAGGAATGTAGGGAGCCAGAAGCCAGTACTGCTTTCAGCCGTCAGCAGAAAGGAAACCAGATGCCCTCCGAGGCCTCAAGCTTTTCTTAATGTTGAGAAGCTGACCTGGCCCTTGGAGAATTGCAACCTCAAACAGAAACTTGTTTTCATGGGGTTTTCTCTTAAAAGAGTTAATAGCCATGGGCTAAGCACTCAAACATCTAGGTCTTAGATGCTCAGTATGTTTTTGCTGTGTTGAGTTCTTTGAAAACATTTTTCTAATAATTTCTTTAGTGATCAACATTCAAGGATCTCTCCTTCACAGAATGGAGTAAAGCTTTGCCCAGCAGTCTACCAAGGTCAGTGTAGCCACTTTTCTGGGCTCTGGGCAGGACTGATACCCTCACATTAAGATCAACCGTTAGAAACATCAGTCCCGATGGAAGCACCCATTTTTAACCTGGAGAGAGGCAGGCAGTTTTTGTCTGCTCGGGAGCATTTGGACCTGTGGTGCTCTCGAACACGAAAGTCTGGATGGTCCTTGGCTGTCCCCCCAGCCATATCTGTGTGTTACCTTTTGTTTTTTCATGAAAGGTTGGTCTGTTCCCATAGCCTGGGCAGTGGTTCTTAACTTTTTGTTCCTGTTCTGTAGCCACCCTGGCGTCCATTCACTTTCAATTTACTAGATCACACAGGGCCTTGGAGGAGGTGCTGGGGATTTTCTTCCTGTGATTTTGTTGGATCTGTGTTTAGGCCAGCTCACCTGACATACAGCAGGATCTGTTTTGGGTTGGAGAGTGATTGTCTTTGCCCTTAGGATCTGACATTACAGGCCTAAAGTGACATGAGAACCCCAGGAAGGGTTATGTCATTAGATTTAAAATGTAGAAGTTGTTTCTCACAAATTAGGTCAAAGGAAAAGCTTATTTTGCACCCATGACTCCATTCTTTAGGTTTAGATTTTTAGACTAAAAATTATAGTGTTGAGGTCTGTACCTTTGTAATCAGACCACCAAGCAAGCATACCTGTAGCAAAGCAGAAAAAGGAAAGGTCTGGACCCAGTATTCCAATTTCATGTTGGCTTTACCACTAGTTGTGAAAGTTATGTTTTCAAAAACAGACTTTACTAAGCCATGCATCCAAGAGCATATGCTAAGAATTGGGTACCTCTACCCAATTAATAGTGGCAGATTTGTATTCAGCCATCCATATCCAGCTATACTAGTGTATATCAACATTCATTCAACATTTTTTGGCCCAGGGGATACAAAGTTCAAAAAGATGCACTTCCTGACTTCAAAGAACTGTCATACTGGTGTGGGGTAAACTGACTATTAATAGTTGAGTGTAATAAATGCTTTAAGTGGATACACATTTCTGATTTGGAGGCAGAGACAGCTGTTGATACAATTTGTGGCCCTAAAGTAGGAGGCTAACAATTGGTTGACATGTGGAAAAGACCTGTGACCTTGGAGGAACTGAGTTAACTGGTCATAGATAGACCACAAGGGCTTGTTTTATTCCAGAAAATAAAAAGAACTGAAGGTTAGTTAGAAATGCTGCTATTACTGAGAGAGAACAACAGGTGAGTGGGGATTGAGAACCCCAGATTTTGATCCCTAATATAGGCTCTTTGCCAAAGTAATGGTATAGTTAATCCTTATTGTGGAGAATACTAACTGTGTTGCAGATCCAATTATGTGTTGCTATGTTATTGTGGGTTCTGTAACATTTATTCCTCATAGACATTTTATCAGTTTCTCACGCCTTTTTCATGTTCTCTTTTCTTTTGGAGGAATTAACATGAGGCTGGCTTGAAGCCTAAAACAGGGACATTTTTGACAATGACGAGAGATCTACTATAAAGAAGGCTTGGGCACTTCTGTTGACACCTGGGCATCTACTCTGGGCGGTGTAGTTTTATTCAGCACTGCAAGATGGTGATTTCTAAGCAGAGACTTGTCTCAATTATGTGGAAACCCATGAACATACATATCCTGGAATTTTCTATTTAATCAGTTTGGGTGAGGCCCAGCCTTACTGAGTAACAGTCTGACCTTGAGAAATTTTTTAGCTCTGACCACAAAAAAAAAGATAGTTTTTTCTGCCTGGACAATTGAGAATTGGCTACTAATTTAGAAGTCAGCATTCCCAAGAATTAGAATAACTCCTGGAAAACTAAAGTGAGAAGGTTTTTGGGATCGTTTCATAAAAACAATTTTAGTTTCTTTTTGCTTGCGCTGGATTTCTTAAATTTTAAACTACCTCATCTTGTCTTTCTAGAGTTACTTCGACTTGTCATTGCCTCTAACATGCTTGACTTTGGCTGTTTCTAAGATGGATTTCTTCCTATTCATTGGCAGCATGTTCTCTCGCCTTTTCATCCCAATCCTCATTTCACTTAACATACTGCTTCTCAGAGAAATGTTTTAAAATCTTGGTTTATGGAAAGAAAGTGATTCTCCAAATGCTATTTGTCTCAGATCAGTGGAGAAGGAGTTAAAAAAAGGCGGGGGGCAGGGAGTGGGGGGGTTGGGCTGGGGGGAGGCGGGACAGAACTGCACTGGAGGCAGCCTACAAGGAAAGAGCCATTAATTAAGACAATTTCAAAGTCAACTGATTGTGATCATTAATGTCACAATAGATCAAAACCTAATTATCACAGCCTAGGTAAGAGCCATCAGTATTAATCAGAAAGTCTAATAGGAAACTATTATCAAGAAATTAGGTCAAATTGAATGCAGTGAACTTTTAATCTTGCCATTCTGTGTTTCTGTGTGTGTGTGATGTCCCCTGGCATTGGCAGGTGTGACCCTCACACTTGATCCGGGCCCCAGTGGCCAGTTTGTCACACTTTGAGGAGCTCCAAACACAGACTGAATCTGAACTGTCATTGCCACTGTTAATTGGTCTTGAACTTCATCATTTGGACTTGGTGTGATCAGCAATCAATGAGAAAAGGTTTATATTTAGGTCTTGGAATGGTTGATCCTTCCCGGAAGTAGAGTATCCCTGAATATAGACTGTGTGTGTTGATAAATCATTCTTTGAGCTTCTGATGTATGTAGGGTCTTGCCGCTCTGGCCACTGCAAGGAGATATGAGTTTAGTATTTGATTCTAAGCCAAGGCAGGCTGTGGATTTAGTCTAACGCCCCACTCCCCCCTAGTTTCAGGAAGAGGGTCATAATGATTTCTACCAGAATCCACTGTAAATCCAACGGAGCGGGGGAAGGTGTTTTTTGCTTGCTTTTTGTTAAAGTGTTACTGGCAGGAGGAAAGAATATTATAAGAGTCTTATGACTAGTTATAGAGAATACTTTATCCCCTCTCTCTGAAGTGAAAAGTAGAGGGTCACCATTTATATCCTTAATCTTGAGCTGTTTATGAAGATGCCGCAATTCCAGAAGTTGAGCTGAGTCTAGAAAGGTGGGTAAGATTCTGTCTTCTAGAATTGTCTTCTAGAAGCTGCAGGAGGGAGGTTGGTGGTGCTGGGTTCCTATGCTCCTGGTTTAGCCTGTAGAAATGTGGCTGCTGTCACCATTATTGTTAGCCTTTCCCCACCAACCTTGCAGCTCAGAGCACTACCAAGACCACTGCTGGGGGAATGGTTCTAATCTTTCTGGTTGTTTGTGGTCTTGCTTCATTCTGGATTTTAGAAATTTGGATTACTCGGTGCAGAACTTTGGAAAATCAGTGTGACTTAGTCCTTCACCTTACTGATTTAAATGTAATTTTATTTTCAAAACATCTATCAACATATGGCTTTCAGAAGCAGTTTGTTTCTCCAAGGTTTCTCACATATGCTAGATATATAATCTCCCTCAGTTAATACGTGTGGGTTGCTTGAGTTGATCTAGTTTGCAGAGCGATGTGTACTTAACTGGCTTCCTTTTGCTCCCAAGTGCACTCTAAGAAATCAGATGCTCAGGGGAGTGGAATAAGAATTGAGTGGATGCTGACTGTGTGTGCCAACCTCCTCAACTGATTCATAATGGCTGACCTTGGGCAAGTCACTCCTTTCAATGCCTCAGTTCCCCATCTGTCAAATGGGGGTAATAATACTGACCTACCTCACAGGGGTGTTGTGAGGCATTGTAAATCAAAAAAGTTGATAGAATACTTTAGGGTCCTCAATGGAGGACACTTTGAGCCTAAGTCCAGGCCTGACATAGGCTTTAGTCCTCACTGAGCTGTCCCATGGTTGGAGCTCAGAAAGTTTTCTGCCCCCCACCCCTCATCAAAGCTGCTAGTTCAGATGTTGACGGTGTTTTTGTGAATGTTGGAGTCTTAATAGTCCAGACTTAGGGTGTTTAGGGGGAAGGCACTTAGTATTTTCTGTATCTCGCATCCACAGAGGCTGTTTTAGACCCAAGAGCATTGCATTCAGGGATCACCAGGCAGGGGAGCTACTGCTGGTTTCTCTCTGCAGGTTGGGAATTAAGGTCCCATGCCCCAGGGACTTGGAACAGACTCAAGCTGTCTCAGAAGCAAAGTAAAGACATTGGGTTTGATTTATATTGTTGCTTATCACTCCCCAAACTAACCCCCAGACAACTGGGACACTGCAGCCCCTCATGGTACCTGTACCCAAGCCTCCACCGCCCCACAGAAACCACCTGGTTTGAAAAACATAACCACTTCCCCCACCCACCCACCCCAAAAGAGCCACACTAGGAAATTTTTTCTAGAGGCATGTTTAATGCTTGGAATTGGGCATTGCTATGCTTTAAAGCTTCATCCAGTTCACTGCGTTCAGCATCACAGTGTCCACAGTGAACCCGACTGACTTTTTCCTGTAGTTTGGGAGGATTTTGGACACTTCCTATTTGCCCAGGTGTGGGCTCAAGAACCTTACTCTCCATCTCAGTTTAGGGGCTCACCCAGCTCCTCTTCCCATCAGGGCTCTTTCCCCTTTCCCCTCCTTGGCCCTAGATGTGTAACCCATGAAAAAGCACAAGGTCCTGGCTGCCTGCTGCCGTCACATCCGGTTCTCCGTGTTTTGTGGACTCCGCTCCTCTGTTCGCCCAGCACTGGCGGCAACATGTTCTGTGGAGTTCTGGAGGAGGAAGAGCACTGTCTGACATCTGCCAAGTAGCCAGGAGTTGGCTCGCCCATGGCCCACAGCCTTCCCACAGATGGGCTCTAAGCAACTCAAGAGGCTGAGTTTCTCAGCACCATACCATCCTGAGTAGCAAAACAAATCACACTTTATAGCCAGATTTCTGAATGGAAAATTAAATTCTCTCTGGACTTTTTGGTTTGTGGGGGAGTATTGGTTGTGTTTCTTGGTTTTATTTCAGCCAAACATTTCTGCTTTTGATTTTTAATTTTTTTTTTTAGAATAAGTGATTAT